ACATTTTCTTTGTTTCTTGTACAAATGGGGTAAGGTAACGCCCCTTCTTACCTCCCCGAAAAATACAATACAAGGTAATGTATATGGACAAATTCCTTTTTTTTAAAGGGAAAAACATGTATTTGCTTCCATTAGGAATTGTTTTCTCTTGTCAGAGGTAAAGGGGCACTAAGTCTTATCAGATGAGGTAAGATACATTTCTTGTACCTGAAAAGGGCACCTATTACAAAGTGATTTCCGACGGAATCCCTTTTTTTTCAAGCTTTGTAAAAAAAAATAAAAAAGGAAGCAAGGGAATCCGGAACTTTGATAGAGCTGTGCACCATTATTATTTTTATTCTCTCAGTTAAACTTCTCACCTTGGTGCATTCGTCTTCAAGAGAACTACAAAAGTTGTTAGCATTTGTCAAATTTCTCTCATTGCATTGTAAATAATTGTTCAGAGTTATGAATTTATTCAAACGTAAAGCTAGCATTTTAGGATATTATTTTGTTCTTCATATTTTTGTTTGAAATAGCATTATTTGAAGTGTTTTTTTTAAATTGAATTTGTTGAACGTATTAAATGAAACGTTGGCATCTTTGTATTTGGAATATACACATGTACGTCCTATTAGCTTTTATTGTCATTAAATTACATTGTAACGATGAAAGAAAGTCTGCATTTTTTGTTTGATTTGTTACTTTTATTAATGCATTAGTTTTGTATAATGCTTTCACGACCCCGCCCCCTCCCCTAGAGCGTTTGCATACATAACGGGGTGTCCTACGACGAGGTGCCTGATTTGTTTGTATATTCCATAAATCCAGTGCAACATATTTATATCGTGCCATAATTCACCAATAATACTCAATATATTATCCTAAAAGTGACTTGTCCTTGCTCATCTTCTGTTGAAATTATTTTCACCGATTACTTACCATCCAGTTATGAACGCAAACACTATAATATTTTAATTTCTAACATGCAGACACGGACGTGCAACCCTCACATGATTTTCATGTCTGTACCTGATATTTTGTATTTCATTTGATGATGCTAATATTGATATACAGACAGTACAGTGTATTTTGTCTGCTAAGTTACAATAGGAGCAAGAGGAGCGTCAACCTAGCACACACACACGCACGTGCACATTTGTTTAAAATAATTTGTTTGTATTCCTCAAATATTATTGTGTTATACAAACATATAATTGAATGAAATAAATAAACGTTGTCTACATTGATTGCTTATACATAAACATAATTAAACAAAAACTCATATGCAGTATATATATATATATATATATATATATATAACACACGCCCGCGCACAACCTACGTGGGTATAAAGCTTTCCTTGCTTTAAAAAAAAAAAATCTCTCTCTGGTCTTTATCTAACACATCTACTTTACTAAGAGACCGATATTAAAATGCAACTTCTTATCACGCTTACATTTACTTGCCTCGATTGAGAAGTCGAGTGCAGAAAAGTCCAGACAAAGTCCACAACATTTTATTTGTTGATCTCGTCACTATTTGTTAAGCAATATCATACAGAAATGTTTTTAGGGGTTGATTATTACAATAACCTATATTTATTTGTGTTTGAAAACTGTCAACGGTTGCAAGATGTATGTTACTGTGGTGGGCCAGTTAATTGAGTTGGAGACGACAAGTTCAAATATAAATGAAAACAAAAGAAGCTCGGAATTACAGTTGAAGTCCACTTTATTATAAGTCAGCCGAAGCTCCAATCGTCACAAACGATGAGTAATTATTGTATAAACATTTCAAATAAGCTGCTTCTCTCAGAGGCTGGGCGGCCATATTGACAGTAAACTAGCAGCACATCCTAAACATGTTAACGAAATGAAATAAACTCTCAATTAATATGACTACAAAACCCCGCACATGGCATTTAAATACTGCGGCACCCGACGAGGCTTAGACATCACCAGCCAACCAGTGGGACCCTTATGAAGACAGCCAATTACAAGACGGAATATATCTAACTACCCTTAGGTCATCCGACCAATTAAGAGAGGAGTTATACCTTTAATTGATTATAACCAACGACAAAGCATCATATATAAGAATGGGAGGAGTATATCTCTTCGCGAGAATGTCGCGTCCCCGGTAAAACAGTCTATTGTCTAACGTGTTATTGGAAATGAACACCTGTACATCTTGATGCAGGAATTCATTTCCAACGTGCTTTTCGAAATGAACACTTTAATCTAATGCAAGAATTCAAAACCAGGGGTTGTTTACCCGTTCCCGGCATACTATTGGAAACATAATTAATGCTATTTAACTTTTAGGTGAGTACAATAAACCAACCCAGCCCGGCTCTTCTATGGCTCTAGTGCCCCCTTTAGGTCAAATGAGATGCCCAAATGAGCGTACCATTACATTACCGTATTGCAGCTGTTACATGTCACGAGGTGAGGAAGTTGGTTTTCTATTAAGTGTCAGATATATTGAAGAGTTTATTAAATATTAGTCTCTCTCAAAACATTGTTTAAAAAAGAGAGGTAAAATACGTACTAAAATACGAAATCTAATTTTCATATTTCATTAAAACATTCAATCATAAAGATATACACTGTAGTTATACAACACACATACCGTGATAATATAACAACATATAACACGCAACGAATGAACAACGACAATGCCATATTTTGTATTAAAAAACTCTTTATTGATATAAACTTCTTTACTGAAAGAAAAAATATCGTTACATGAATCTAGCAACTGGAACACCCATATTTATTTGTTTCTACACACCTCGTCTGTGTTGCAACTACCGAACAATGCTTCTCGTGCCGTACTTCCGAATAAAGTAACATGAAACACATTCTATTGATTGTAAAAGAATGAAGTATGCACCGACAACACAGGCCACTAAACAAACAGCACCGGAGACCGGCAACATAGAAGAATCGGGACTTCATACCACTTTCTACATGATTCACTAGACCGCCAACCCGAGGGATCGAATCTGAACACTTTCCCTTCCCATGGGCCTCATTGAACTTTCATCTTTTCTTTTTCTCTTAATATTCGTTTCTTTGTTCTCTCGATCTTTCTGAGTGTATCATTGGTTGTCAATTTACTAGAATCACCCCGGTCAAGCCATATTTACGGTAACATCCTTTCTCCGATGCGGTATGTTGGGAGCATCCCGGCCCTGCAGTAAACCGATAATATCACGAAACCGACAGTTTCAGTCTGACTTGATCGTTACCACATGACCGAAAAGTCAATGCATATTAAAGGTAAAGACCAGTATTGGAAACGCCCCAATTTTAAAAAATGAAATGGAAGCTCTCATTACCAATCATGTGAAAGAATATGTTTTGACTAATACATGATGATAACAAATTTGCCGGGAAACCGCTACTAATTCATATATTTGGTAAATTTGTTTCTCTCATGGTCTGTGAGAGATATAGGGTAGTCCCATATACATCTTTCAGTGTATAGTGCTTGTAAGTTTACGAAGAATGGGCCTAATTTCTTATCATTTTGATGATTCCAGAACCTTGCAGATGCTAGACGCTAGATGATCAACCTTTTCTGATCGATTCCACAACGTTTCTTTCACAATGCAATCGCATGACCATAACTGGTCTTTACCTTTAAGATTGAGAACATATTTAATATTGACTTGTACTAATTGAGTATTAAATCAATATTTAAATTTCAAGTTTTGGGAAAGGGGGCGATTTTCTTTGAGCACGGGGCTTATGATCAGCTGTGCAACCATGAAAAAGACGGGCTTTGATTGTTAAGATTTCTTTCTCAATATTACTTATCGTATATTTCTATATTAATTTAACATATTCCTAAACTCTTGAATACATGACGGTTCCATATCTAAATTTCGAAATGATTAGTTGTTTGCTTTTAAACCATAATGCACAGATTTGGTAAACTTAAGCTCGTTTTCTACTACAATTTAAACCCGATGCTATGGTCTAACAAGGGGGATTAGTCTGAGTGATAAGTTTTACTTTCAGTAAACGTTATCTTCGACTCCAGGTCAACCTTTATCTGAATTAATTGATTACATGGCAGATCATAATGTTCAGAAGGGGAACACATACCAAAACCAATGTATTTTCATTATTAGGTAGACCAATTCTTTTTCAAGTGCTTAAGTAAGTTTAATTTTTTTTTATACCACTTAAAAGTTGTCATGCATTAAAGGTAAAAACCATTTATTTGGTCCCAGTAGATAAACTAATTTACCAAATATATCAATTAGTTGGCGGTTTCCCGGCAACATTTGTATCGTCACGTATTAGTGAAATCATATTCTTTCACATAATAGGTAATAAGAGCTTCCATTTCATTTTTTGAGAGGCGTGCGTTTCCAAAACTGGTCTTTACCTTGAATAATTGGGCCATCATCTTACAAGTGCCGATAATTCATTAAACATAATCGCAATTATAAACATGATAAACTTTTTTTTTAAAGGTAATACAATACAAAATATCATACACTACATATTAAAAAAAAAACAAGGAACATTTATGTTAAAGGTATTATGTCCCTTTTGCAGCCAACCTCAAATTCTGTAGAACTTTGCAGGAATTATGAATATGTCATGTGTGTCCTATCTGTGAAATTTAAATTTTAACAGTGTCCTATTATTTAAATTATGCAAGGAAACCTGTTTACTTGCTAGACTTTACTGTCAGACACTATTGAGTGACCGACTGGCTTGTTATTCTTCCTTGATAATAACATACATAAAATGAGCTGTAAAGGGTACATGAGCATTTGTCTACATCAATAACCCACTTCTTGTGATGGCCAAAATTTAACTGATTGAATCTTTGCGCAGCATAAAACGTATGACCATTCAGTACAATGGTCTGAAAATCAAGACTATTACTTATTGGATCTATAGCTCCTAAGTCGATTTGACAACTAATAGTCTTTATTTTCCCACTTGAAGACATTTTCAAGCCCCACCTTTTTTAGTAAAGTTCTAAATTAGTATTATCTTTCAAATGCCGTTGGAATTTAACCTTATCATTTTTTTGGACTACGAATGGGACATAGTACCTTTAACATGGCAATTCATGAACGAATTTACGACATTTGATACTTATGTTGTTTTGATTGATAAAAATAAACATCTTCATAAACATTGTACATAATTGAACAAGAACATTAATATAATTGCATGGGAATGACAGAAACATAATTCATCATTTTGTTTTCCTTTTTAAAATTGACCATAATTTGTTCATTCTGAAATGTCTTTATATAGCGAGATAACATCTCTACACGAAGTACAAAGACAGATAAATATACAAACATCAATGAATAATTGAAACAAATAACAAATTGAACTACATTACAATGAAAGATACATTTATGAAACAAATAATCAAACAGGCAACCACAACATGAAACCCAGCAGCAATACTATATCAAAAGTCGCAGAAGAACTAGATTTTAATATATGACCTAACAAATAACCCAATATTGCCAAAGAAGAGTTAATATATCATGGGCTGTGGATACAAAAACATAACATATTCCTTTCTCGAGGAAAGAGAAATCGTCCCACCAAGATACTATCTAAACCACCGATTTAACCGGTTTTTATTGCAAGTATTTATTAGAAAAATCATAATATGGGCATGGTGGATTTAAGAGGCAAATGATAAAGAAGCATATTTATTGGGCATATGTCTTTTTTAAACGATTTGTTCTCTCCTGTACCTTCTTGTATTCTTACTACTGGTAGCTAACATTTTCATAGTCGGAATTCCCTTGTGCTTGACCTCCCTCAGCTGCAGGAGGCACTACGTCCATAGTAAAGTTCCTTTTAGCTAGGTTTCCATGCGAGATTCCCTCATCGGCGCCATCTTGGATTTGGGTGATTTCGTACACGCTATCGCCTGGCGGAGCGAGGGGAGCAGACTCGACGTTCCCGTAGGTATGTTCGTATTCAACCGGGACTGGCAATTGTTCGTACTCGTTGGCAGACAGGTATTCATTGATCAACTCATAGACGAATGCATAGTCTTCCTACATTACACAAGATAAACGCGAAAATGTATGAAAATACATTATAGGCCTACAACCATATAATTAAGAATATCATATCAGTAGACCTTTCATATCACACTATATTGTTAAAATAAATCACACAGGTCTACTTCTATTTCATATCATGTTGTATAATCATGTCATGTGATATCTTATCCAATTGTATCAGAGGCGGCGGAGCGACTTCCAAAGTGGGGGGCACCAACAAAAAAGGGCACTTTCTGGAAAAAGGGGCACCTACAAAGGGAAATCTCAAAGCGAAAATATACTATTTTTAGACATTGGTATATACCCGTATAATTTGATTACATTATCAGGGATGATTTCAATATTTGTTTCTCTTTATACATCGTATAAAATACTGCTTAAGCATCAAACCTTGCAGTTGGGTGTGATGGTCGAAAAAAATCATTTGCGAGCGAGGAAAAATATAAGATTTGTGAGGTCGCAGTGCGAAACTACATCTTATAAAGAGGAAAAAAACCAATCCTCATCGGGTTATAAATAAGCACATTCTCATGATAGTAAAACTGAGAAGACCTTTGATAATAAACATAATTATAACATCTATAAATGTGAGAGAGCGTAGCGAGCGATCTTTGGGAGATATTGCTCTTAGTCGCTTGAAATTAGGGACACGTTTAATGATGAGAGGAAAAGGGGACACTTATCGAAGGAATAAGACACTTATTAGAAAATAAAAGGAGCACCTGTCAAAGTACAAAGGGTTATTATCAGAGGTGAAAATGGGGCACTCACTAGGGATGAAAAGGCACTTATGAGAATGGAAATTGGGCATTTGTCGACGGAAAAGAGGCAACCATCAGATTTTGATAGGGGCATTTCTGAAAAAGGGATAGGTTCCTCATAAGAAAGGAAAAGGGGCACGTATCATTGTTAAAAAGGTTAACTTTATCAGAGGTGAAAAGGGGCACTTATCGCATCTGAAGAGGGGCACACACCATATATGAAAAAGGCACTTATGAGAATGGAAAAGGGGCACTAATAATAAAGGGAAATGTGCATTTGTTGAAAGAAAAGGAGCACCGATCAGATTTTGATAGGGACTTTTATTGGAGGTGAAAGGGGGCTTTTATGAAAAATGGATATTATGAAGGAAAAAGAGCATCTATTAGGAAGGAAAAGGGGCACGTGTCAAAATAAAAGGGGGTGTTATTAGAAATGAAAAGAGCACTTATCAGGAGAAAAGGGGGGCACTTGTCAAAATAAAACGAGTATCTCTCAGAATTGAATAGGGTTATTTACCAGACATGAAAAGGGGCACTAGAAGGAGAATGAAAAAGGACTATTTTCATAGGTGAAAAGGGGGCATTTATGAAAAGGCGAAGGGCTCTTTGTTAAATGGGGACACTTATCATAAGGAAAAGGGGCACTTATTAGAAAGGAAAGGGGGCACATGTGAAAGTGTAAGGTGTGCTTATCCGAGTTAAAAGAGGTAGTTATTAAAAGGGAAAGGGGCACTTCTTACAAAGGAAAAAGGGCAATTGTCAAAGTAAAAGGGGCACCTCTAAGATTCGAATAGGGCAATCATCAGAACTGAAGGAGGTGCTTAACAAAAGTGAAAAGGGGCGCTTCTCATACCCGAAAAGGGGCACCTACTAGAGATTAAAAAGAATGGAAATAGACACTTATTGCAAAGGAAACTGGAAACTTGTCAGGGAAAAGAGGTACGCGTCAAAATAAAATGGGCACATATCAGAGGTGGAAAGGGCAGGGGACACTTTTAAAAATTAATAGGGGCACATATTAAAGTAATAGGGGCACTTTTTATGTAAAAAGGGGCGCTTCTTACAAAGTTAAAGGGGCACTTTTTGGGTACTTGAAAAAGTGGGGGGGGGGCACTGTGCTCCCCCCTGCCCCCCGGGTCCGCCACCTCTGAATTGTATGATATAATATCAATGATGACAAAATACTTGCAAGATTAATTTTGTTTGTAGGGGGAAGGGGTCGGCATATTCTCATCATTTATTCTGCCGCTAATAATCGCATAATAGGGACTTTTAGATATGCACGTCGACATAGTGACATCCTTTAAAGGCAATGGCATTGCCTTAAAAGGACTTGACACGTAGCAGTCCCTAGTAATACTTACTTTATTAATCACTTACTTATCACTTATCACTTATTAATCATATGATAAAAAAAACCTGACATCCGCAGTAGTACAACATTCTACAAGAAGGATCTGAGCACTCAATTTTTTCCCTTGTTATAAATCTCTGCTGAATGTCGGTAAATTCTTTTGACCCCCCCCCCTCCCCCCCCCCCCCACACACACACCAAAATGATCTGCTTATACCTCGGTTTGTACGAAGTGCATCCTCTCATTTCGCAGCATCTTGACCATTTGGAAGACATCAACAGCGTCCTCTTCATTTATCTGTGCGATGCACTCAAGCATGGTACAGAACACACCCGTTCGACCCACTCCGTTCCTTTGTATTGAAAGATAAAAAAATTTAGATTAAATATCATCGCAAAGATTTTAACAAAAAATGGAAACAATTTTATTACCGTTACACATCAAATGGGCGAAAATGACAATGACATAATGCAGTCTGAACAGAAAACAATATTGATTTTGAAACTTGTCTTCTGATATTTTCTTGAAAGTCTTTGTGATCGTGTTAAGAGAATGGGATGACGCAATAACTGACCACGAGGCAAAGAAGTGGAGAAAGGTCTTGCAGTGGAAAACATTCCGTCCCTCTGATAGGACGTTAAATGGAGGACCCGTGTGGATGTAAGTAACTCACCTGTACGATCTGCTTTGTTCGTACTTAAACAAAGATACAACTATATAATAGACCGGCAAGCAGTGTTAGAGAAGGGTGGGTTCTGATAAAGGTTAAAAAAAGAATTTGGGAAACTTCCCATTCTATTAAAAATACTTTAGAAGAAAGTCAACGAAGAAATGTCTCATAAGAAGTAATGTTCTAATGGTTCTTAACTTACAGGCAGTGAACTAGGACTGGAAACCCCTCTGCAACTCCACTAAAACTGTCCTCCACTTCTGTCATAAGATTCAGAAGATAAGGCGCGTGGTCCTTTCGTTCCTCTGCCTTAGTAGGCCAGTCGACGAACTGATACTGCTTCACGACATGGCGAGCCTTGTATAAGAAATAATCATCATAGTAATAATGTCTGTTTATACTTATTCAACATGGTGTATTATTATACACTGTCGCTCATAAAGGTGGAATATTTTTTTTTATCCCAATTTATGGAATTATTTTAAAAATAATTTAAAAATAATAGATCTAGATTATAGTATACATTCTCAGATTTTATTGACTAATAATTTGCCAATGTGTGTTTTGCGTGACTGCTAAAGCATGTGTATGCTACTATGCTTATCAACTAGGGGACCTATGACCTTAAGTCACAATTGACAGTAATGAGGAAAAGGGCACTAATATAGCACATCGACACGGTTTTCATCCTGGGGCCTCACAGTTACGAAGCCATTGCTTTGTCATTGAATCATGACTGTACGCAGCGGGGGCTAGGGTAGGGGGCAGTTTCCATAAATAAAAAAAATTCAAAAAAAAATGCAATAAATTTTCAATAATTTATTGCATTTTACCCCGGTTCCCAACATAAATTTTTTTCTGTGTGCCCATGCCTTGAGCCATAATGCATGGCCGTCCAGAGGATTTTTTTGCGACAGTGTACTACAATATATTTTTAAAATAAATCTGTACCAAGTAAATCCAGTTAGGGGTCCTATTTAAACTCCATCCCAATAAACAAAATCACGTGAAAATCACGTCAATATCAAGGTATCGACTTGAGGAGAGTTACGTTCTTCAAACACCTGACATTTACGTAAATGTGTTAATACGTTTATTGCACTAGGTAACTTAAAACACACGTACACTAAATCACGCAATTGTCACTGCAATATCACCATTATAATAACGTGATTATCCCTACCTTGGAGACCATGGTTTGTAAACCTAATACTCCCGTGTTTGTTTGGTTATGAAATTACATCTTCATAAACGAAATTATCGCGTCACAGAAACACGTGAAGCGTTAGTAATAGTTTTAGTCAAAATATCTGCGTGAAATTCACGTGAATATTACGAGGCTGACTTGAAATGAATCATGTTCTTCATTCACGTGAAATTTACGTCGAAGAGGAAGTATGTTACTGTAACCCGCGTTCAACCCAATAATTACGCAAATGTTACAATAAATGAACCAAAATAATAATAATCATCCCGTTTCTGAACATCGTGTCTTGGATCTTCCATAATTACGTCCAGGCGCGCCGGAAGCAGTTTGGGGTTAGAGGGGGTTGGGGAGGGGGGGGGGGGGGGGGGGTGCAAACATCCCAGAAGAGAAAGCTAGTTGCAACTGGTCCAGTTGATGAACCATTTAATGCCAACTGGTAACCCTGGAAATTGAAATGGGCTAAATGATCCAGGCCAGTTATAATTCAACTGGTCTAGCTGAGCCATTAGAACCATTTGGTTAACTTCCAACCAGTTGAACAACAATACTTCAATACTGGTACGTCTGTATTTCCAATGTAAAGGCATTGGTAATAAGTAGACTTACATAATTGAATTGATCGAACAAATTTCGTATACTTGTACTTTATTGAAATTATTTTAGTTCACAGTTAATGTTTCCCTTATTCATGTTTAACTATTTATACGAAGTAGCGAAATGTCCTAATAACTGGTAATTTATATTTGTAGTATTTTCGAAATGAATTGCATATAACTAAATCATCAGTAATTAAGAAATATGCTGTAAATTCAGATAAATTGTTAAAAAAAACCTAGATCTGCACGCACCCCATATTCAATATGCAAATGAATTGGTGTCAGCTGGGTAAACTCGAAATATGCCAACGCTCAGTCATCAACTGGTGCAACTGGAAATGTGCACACTCCAGTTATCAACTGGTGCAATGAAAATATGCCAACAGTCAGTTATCAACTGGTGAACATAGAAATATGCCAACAGTCACGGGATTATCACCACGGAACTTAAATAGTAACTGTGAAACCATCAAGACACCCAAGAATAACTCATTTTCACACATGGAAAACACGGAATACCCAGCTTATATTAATAATCCGTTTGAGTCACGCGATCATCACCGTGAAACTGCTGGAAACTTTGACTACGATTTAAATAGGTGTTTTAAGACACCTAATCATGACTAATTTTTCACACCTAAAAGTCACGTATGCCCAGCTTAGATTAATAATCCGTTTGAGTCACGAGATCATCACCGCGGAACTTATGGCAACTTTGACTTCCATTTAAATAGGTGTTTTAATACACATAATAATGACTAATTTTTCACACCTAAATATCACGGATTCACAGCTTAGATTAGTAATCAGTTTTAACTACGTGATCATCACCAAGAAAGTTACGGTAACTTTGAAACCATTTAAATAGGTGTTTTAAGACACCTAATAATGACTAATTTTTCACTCCTAAAAGTCACGTATGACAAGCTTAGATCAATAATCCGTTTGAGTCACGAGATCATCACCGCGGAACTTATGGAAACTTTGACTACCATTTAAAAAGGTGTTTTAAAACACTTAATAATTACTAATTTTCACACCTACATATCACGATTTCACAGCTTAGATTAGTAATCAGCTTGAGCCACGTGATCATAACCAAGAAATTTATGGTAACTTTGAAACCTTTTGAAGAGGTGTGTAAGACACCTCAGAATTACTAGTTGAATATAACCAGAGATTCACGGACAGAACAATAAGACGATTAGCCGGTGTAAGTAACGTGATTATTACCATCAACCTTAGATAACCTGTGAAACCAATCAATAAAGGTGCTTACACGACCAAATAATTACGTATTTATCGCCACCATCGGTTAACTGACAAAAAACTCGTTGCTTGGTCAAGTGGTTATTTGGTCATAAACACTTGATTTACAGAGGTAAGTGGAATCACGTTACTCCAGTCGCGTAATAAACTGGTGGTTTTTAGGTTAGATGAAAACGTGAACAGGAGTACCTTTTTTGTTTAAATGAAGGCACGTGTCGATAACGTTTAAATCTAGTTCAAAAGGCACTATACTTTAAAATCACTTAAAATACACTCCCAAAAGAGGTTACTTTTTAGTGTTCTGTTTATTGGGATTTCTCTCTTGTACTAATATATTCACAATACGTGTAACATGATCAGGACCTTCAACTAGGTATCGGCCCGTCGGGCTTTGCAGCCTAACATTCCTTGCTAAGTTTGCCGCATTTATGCTCTGACAACTATCCTGCCGATAGGTTAGTTGTAATGATTTTTTTTGTTTTGCTACCGAATGATATATTTTCAGTTGGCAGTATTTACTTTCGGTGTACAACTGGTAGATGAAAAAGATTTTAATTATTTCTTTGTCATGTTTTATCCGTCTTAGATTTGTATTGATTTTTATTATCATCATCATCATTTATTACATTCAACATTTTCTCTCTTACGGGGGACTTCACCCTACCCCCCCCCCCCTTCGCTTTTTCTTGTTTCACCCATCCTCCTCATTTAGAACAACGTCACTTATTATTTTCTTCACGAGAACTTTCCATAAAATATTCGGTCTTCTTTTCCCTCTTCCACACCACGCATCTTCCGTATCATGACTCTATTCTACTCAATACCTTCTTCTACTGTCTTCACAGCAGTGGCAGATCCAAGGGGGGGGGCGGCCCCCTTGAGAAAAAAAAATCATGTAAAAACACGTGATTTTTACCTTTTTTGGGGGGCTGCACATTTTTAAATTTTCAAGGACCAAAAAAATAAAAAATAAAAATGTGCTCACTACCCCCCCCCCCCCCTCCCCCCCCCCCCCCACTGAGCGACTTTTCGGCCGACGCAATTTTCGATTTTTCGGGAGCAAAACAAAAATAAAAAAATTGGGCCCCTCCCCCAAGAAATCCTGGATCCGCGCCTGCTTCACAGTACACGTTTCATTACAAGTTTCTGAACCATGATTATATTATCGCTGTTCTAACACAATCATTAGGCATTTAAATATTGCCTTTCATTTTCATCGTAAACCTTATACTAGTTAGGATCGAGGCCAGCCTATAAATCTTTTTACCAAATTGAAATGTTGTCAGTTAAAAAGCATTGCGAGTCGTGCACAAAAAATAAATACATGCATATTGTGGAATATTTGAATTCATGATTTTACTTACGTTTACAACAATGGGGGAGGGGGTATTTACCTTTGGTTTGTTCTGAGTAACCTCTATTTCTCTCTCGATGAAACCTCTTCTCTCTGAGATAGACAGCGTGGTGACAGAGACAGGTCCAAAGGTTTTTACACCCTTGTCAGACCAGTATCGTGCACAGCTCTATGAAGGAGTTAAGAATACCCATCCATTAAGAAAAATTAGGATTAAGGTGTGGTCTTATATAGGCTTAGGAATATACTTAAATATGAAACCTTTTCTTCAAATAATCTACTGATTTCTCTCACGCATATTCTATCAAGTCGCTGCCTGGTTCTACCAAGCAGTGTCCACATACTAGAGCCATCTGGTTAGTGCTTTCTTTGGTCCGCTCTATCGTGAGCCTTCCTTATTATTTCATACGTTTTGTAATCTATCAAGTCTGTCACTTAATTAACCAATAAGCCGCTTTGGAGCACTTCTACGAGTTATACACACATATCCACAGATCTATTACACATGGAGAAGTCCCACTTTGTGCATTTTAAAATAATTACTGTCAAAGTGAACATGGTGCTCCATGAACACCTTTTGTTCGCCCGCCTTAAAAGAATAATTCCACCTGTACATTATAAAATGTACCGTCAGCACATATACACATTAACTAAACTAAGTGAAACTTGGCGGAGGTGTCGTGCAAGACCCTAATGCACATTGGCCACTCTCCACCAGGTATAAATTATTATTTTGTATTAATTAGTGTCGGGGTGTTAGAATGGGCCCTCTGGACTTAAAGCATTAAACAGAATAGTCATTATCATTATTATTACTTTAAGTAGTAGAAGTAGTAGAATTAGTAGAAGTAGAAGTAGTAGTAGTAGTAGTAGTAGTAGTAGTATAGTAGGAGTAGTAGTATAAATAGTACGAGTAGAAGTATCATAATTATTGTAAACAAATCTCGAATTATTGCATGTTTGTACCTTGTCACGTTTATTGTCATCGTTGAGCATGACGATGGTGGATGGTTGGTAGTCGATGACCATGGCCCAGAAATCAGCTACGGTGTTCGGCATCGGCATCTGGGTGGTAATGAACCTGTATCGATTACCCTGTACGACGAAAAAAAACATGAATAAATAATAAGAGGATTATTGTAAAATGACGAAAAGAAATTGTGTAAAAAAACAATTCATTGATCACACCCACCAGCACTCACTCCCACTATCTCACAAAGACACACACGCACCCCGCACAAACATGTCTTCTTATATAATATACTATAATTTACCATTGTCAATTATTACATTATTTAATTTTGATGCATCGTAGGTACTCTTGGAGGAAGCAAATTATGGTAATCCTCCTAAAATTAATTGCTAGAATTCATGAAGTTGGTTTATCTTAACTCATGAATTAGATCGCGTCGAGCATGTTGAATAAAAGGCTAATATACTTGTTAATTTTAAATTTCCTTTAGTTTGGGGAGGTTTAAAATCAACATTCAGACTGTAGATTGAATTCAAAATTATTTGTTGATTTTAACCGAATTAAATATCAATCGCTGTATTAAATAACGAATTTAGTCTAGACCTCTGACGCGGTGCTATCGGTAAACTAACCTTCACGAAGCTCGCGTTGACGAAGTCCGAATCTGAAGAGCCCCTAGACTGAAGAATGACTCGGTTTCTTTCCACTAGTAGTTTGTAAATTGATTTTGGAAATAAGACGGTTTGAAGAACAGTAAAACAATAAAGAATTAACCTTTTTTTCCATGAGGGCTTATCGACTCAAAAGGATTAATTTAACATTAGTATATGAACATCCCACCTTCAAATGAAGATCGCCATCCGTCTCTTAAATTGCATTCAATTTTACCATGTTCGGAGTCATGAACAAGTGCATAATATTGAGTACATATGATAAGTTAGAAAGCACTGAATGGGTAACATTGAAACGTTATAGGAATATTCAAAATGTTTGTTTACTTGGAAGACTGTTGGCGTAACGGCTCTTCGAACGATTTTCTGTCTTCGTAGCAGTTCTGATCAACGAGGCTGGAGGATCAGGACAAACGACCGTCAAGTTCTACAAAGCACAAAATAGAGAGAGATATAACCATGAAGGTATTTATGGTGACCTGAACTTTACTCCTTGACATTATTCTATTCTGGGCTTTGTGTTCGTTAAAGATCTAGGGTTAGGCTTGCAGTTGTTTTTAATTAGCTTAGGTTTAGGGATCGGGCTATAAAGGTGTGGTTCAATGTTTGGTCTCAGTTTTGCAGTTGATGATTTGGTTAAGGCTAGAACATAACCGTGGACAGAAGCATTGGTAGAACAATTCTACTTATGGACTCAAATATCAGTGCAACTTCTGTCAGATTGTGAAGAAAATAATGCCTTTGACCTATCCAAAATACCCTTCACTCATTTTAAAGAAAAACACTTCACCGGGTATACCGATTTGTGAGTACTACTTAACAAATCCTTCCCGTTTGCTTCAGAGATTTTCTGTCACTTTATCCTTGACCGGAGCAGAACTTTATATTTTACATATCTTTTACATGGAATAAAGTAGAACTGCGGGTTGTTTTCTTTATAGAATTGGGGCTGTTAAATTCTTCTTCGGCAGGGAAATGGTACACTATACCTCAAACTGTGTAGACAATGGTGTGCATCTCCGTTTGTTGTTTATAGTGACTTCCTGAAGATGCATGAGTGTAGATTCGAAGTAGGAGGCCTGGATCCTGGTATCTTCTGACAGCAAAGCTTCGAGCACAGCCACGTACACAAACTGGTATTGCTCCTTCAATTCCAAAGATTCGATAACAAAATAACTGTTCGGCGAGATGTACTTGAACATTAACATAATAAAGTGGGTGGGGTGTAGTCGGAATCAGCATTCAATCGGTTCAATATTTGTACCATTTTTTAATTATACTTTTCTTGTTACTTGGTACTTGGTAGGATTCCTCCAAAAGACGCCGTAAAGGTGTTTAAACTGGAATGTTGAAATAATAATATTCAAAAATGAATAAAACTATTTCAAAGGTAATATTTAAGGCACCTGCATAGTAGTATTGTTACACTGTTTTTAGCCCAGCTGCCCTCACCCGGTTCAAGGAGTGGATTCCTGCCAGGTATCCATTTATGACACCTGTGTTGAGAGTGGCAAATATAGATTAATACCCTAGAACAACGGTGTCGCGATGGGACTCGAACCAAGACCCACGTGATTCCAAGTTTGGTCATGTATCCACTAGACCACGACACCTCTATCATAACCCATCGCTATATGTCACCTGTAACATATATCCCTGTAGAAATAAGAAAGTAAAATGTAAGTACGTTATAATCTACCTTTGTTTGCACCATGTAAGGTCGGTTTTGTCTGATCTTTGTGACGTAACCGAATATATCGACTTCCTTGGTTCTCTTCGCTTCAGCTACGACGCTGTCTATACTCAACAGTACACCAGTCCGACCAACGCCAGCACTAAAGGGACAAATGGTGGATGAGAACAGCACAAGAAAATATTAAAATTGACTTCTGGGCCCCGTCTTACAAAGAGTTGATATTGATCCGAATCAATATCAAGTCCCTAAATCAATCACAAGTTTGCAGTCTCCCATCTCTTATGTACATAGTTGTGATTGATATCAATCACAAATAAGTTGCGGTTGATATCAACTCTTTGTAATACAGGGCCCTGGTATAGATTAAACAATACAAAATAAATACAAATCTTTTTGAGAGCTTTCTCATTTGGGAACAACGATAACAACATTTCCGTCCCTGTATAGCGCAAATCATTTCGTGATACGTTTTTGTTTCGGCGCTTCCAAATGACTTTGGATATTATTACCCCAAACTTTAGCTCTGCTAAACGTTGCGCTCAGTGTATTCAATGAATACGTCCTGCCAGCTATGGCGATTATAGATTGATATCTTAATAACCACAAAAAGGTGTTGGTTCGGCATGGATTCGAAACCCGTCCCGTATGGTCCACAGTCTGGAGGTTTAACTCCTAGAAAACAACACCTCCACCTCTCTCATTTTGTATGTCGATCATTTTGAAAGAATATCACAGTAAATATATACAATTTCCTATGAAGAGAAGCTGTAGCTGAAACGTTTTGACAACGCGTTGAGGCCACCTGTCCGTTCAACACCAGCACCGATGTGTAAAATGGTTAATAGGAACAGGCAACCAAATAAATAATTATTCAAAGGAAGGAAGGGTTCTCGTAAAGATGATAAACAATCGGAAGGTTTCTTTTCAGGACTACACACCCTCAAGAAAGATAACCGAGAGTCCTTTTCAGGACTCCTCAATCCTCCCCCTCTCTCACATGGTGCACCCGCAAGCCTACTGTATTATAGATATACAGTCTCTTTATCTAAATCACCATGCAAGCCGATACTTACAAGCAGCATCTAATTTGTGGGTGCAGTACATGGTTTTTGTCATTAAGAATTAACTTATTCTTTTCACTTAGATTATTTTACAACTTTACAGTATATGCATTCATTATTATGTACTACGAAAACAACTTTCCTTATTTTTTCGCAATGCAGTCGCTTATTTTTTTTTACTTGGATTCTTTCACAACTTTACAGTCTTTTCATTAATTAGTATGTACTACGAAATCAAACTGCCCTAATTGGTTCCATTTTCTTGCGCATTACAATCGCTTGTAATACTACTCGACTTAATTATAAGTTTGCATCATGGCATTGTGTTAATAATAGAAATCAAAATACTGCTTTTATTGATTTGATATGATTTTTTAAAATAATTATTATTCATCTATTTGTGTGTGTGCGTGGGTGTGTATGTGGGGGTGGTTAGGTGTCTCATTTGTTTCCCTATAACAAACTTACATGCACTTAAACATAAACAAACAACTATTTTTATTAACAAATTGTCGAATTAGTGGGGGAGGGGGAGGGGAGGGGAGGGGTAACATTTCGAACGGCTAATTTGTGAAACGACCTCTGTATGATAATATGTATAGTGACCTGCAATGAACCAGAAGTGGAGAGTTATTTGTTCCATGGTCCTTCTTCACCTCAGAGATATAATTCTGCAGAGTAGATGTGCTGTTAGGAACTGCTTTGTCTGGCCACTCCGTGAAGTGAAACTGGTTAACAACCCTGGTCTTCGCCCCCTGAAAAAACGCAAATAATTATTCCAAAGACTTTCGAGATAGAACTCGACTGATGTGACTGGCTACCCTCTCGTATGGCACGTATAAATCATGATGGTCGGATCAACAGATGCCTAGTCGGATCATGTCTGCTCGTGGTATTGTTCACAATAATGTGATGCATGAAAAGCTATTGACGTCATATTAGCCTTGATTCTGACGTGTCAAAGTTTGAAATAACAAAATGAATACATGAAAATTCTCAATAAAAGATACCCCTACCCCCCCCCCAAAAAAAAAAAAAAAACACAACAACAAACAAACTAAACAAAACAAAAACAAAAACAAAACAAAACTTCATGGACCCTATGAAACATCACATTTGTGTAAAAAGAACAATATAACAATTCACAGTATGTGGTGGCAGTGTCTTTTGGCAGAAAGTTGACGAATAAGGGGGCACAAACCTTTGTCAAGAACAGTGTTCGCTTTAAACCTCCAGAACAACTTGCGACAGAATCCAATGCCACTAAGATGTCCCCAAAGTTTACAGATGTCGACTCCGGCCAGTATTGACGGCATTTAATCTGGTCGATAATGTGATAATAATAATGTTATACGATTAGTATTATTACACATCGTAGTTTACTAGGATGGCCGCTATAAAGTGGACTGTACGTGGTCTGACGGGACATCCCGCTAGCCCGAAAGCCCATGAGAGGGTCAATGCGGTATAATAAACCTTCATAATCATTGCCAGAAGGCCAAGAGACCGATATGACGGTCTTATGGATGTCGGTCTCATGGGCGATAACAGTGGATTTTAGGGGAAATGTGTGTTATACCAATAGCCGATCAGTATTGCCATTAATTATTTGAAACATATCAGCCTTTTGAAACCACTACCATCTGCAACTCACACGTGCATAATTATGCATACCCACATACACTTTTTTTAAAGCAATTTTGTTTTATTTCTCCAAATGTGTAATACAAACCATAACATACAATTGAATAAAATAAACGTGTTCAATATTGATTGCTTTTTACATAAACATAATTAAACAAAACTTATTTGCAGTATATATAACTTAGCAACAAAGTAAACGTATAAATACCTAAACATAATATATATGTCAATTGTAAATGTTATTCACACACACACGCACACGCACGCACACACACATATACGCACACATACGCAATGATAAATACGACACCTTGGGCTAAACGAAGATCTATTTAGACTTTGAAAATGACAATTTTGAGTATAACCAAATCATGATAATTGGACAAATAATGCGGCCCACCTTTGTTCCCTCTTGGAGTTTTGTTACCATGGCGATTGTGTTTACATTCTCCTGCCACACCATTCGCCAGAAGTCATCCATTGATGCATTATTTGGTCCTATAACATAAAGCGGAGATATGTATTAATTAAAACCAACGGACTGCATCATTTTCAATATATTGTGATGTGAATCCCTATATTCATAAAACAAGTTTATTTTATGGAGATAAAAACAGGCCACAACAAAACGTAGATTAAAAATGTGTATAAATTTCGCTATGTCATTAACAGACTGTATCCAATTTCTGTTCACTGTGAACTATGTTCGAGCCCGGTATTTACATGTGAGTGCAGGAAATATCCGTGTTAAAACGTAAATTTGACAAATCAATACATGATATGAAGATGATAATCAAATCTCAAGGAATATGGGGACCGTGACTTGTCATACATTGCACCATCATCTCTTTGTGAGATTAGCAGTCTATAACACGTCAGATCGTGCCTCAAAGATGACTTATTTGACGATTATTAAAGATAATGCGTACTTCATCGCAGTAGCCTGCGCCGTTGAAAGTTTTTAGAGTAAATGGCACCACAAAACTGCTGTGATTTATCATCGTCTTTATGTCATATTAGAAGGCAAAACAATTTATACAAAACGATACCAACAAATATATACATAAGTAGAGTTAGATAACTTTACCTTGTGACGCGATGTACGCACGCTGGTTTCGAAAGCTCTGAAGGGCATAGAGGGAGAGAAAAAAAGAGTTAACTCTTATCCTGCCACAAGGCTAATCCCCATTGTGCCAAGCCACAAATTCCCCAGTGCCAAGTTTATAACAAGATAATCGGATTAAAGCGATGGTACTATATCAATAGCTCGTGCAAAACACTAGACACAGTCCAATGGGCATGAACAATTACTGCTTTTACGAATGCGTGCAAACATGAAGCAGAGAAGCAGTAGCTTGCTGAGGTATACAAAGCACTATAACAATAGCGTGCATGCAGCCTTATGGCAGGCTATGAGTTAATAGGTAATGTACTCATGCTGAATTCGAGAGCTCTCTAGGGGGAATTGTAAACAAATAGAAGGGGAAAAAAGTATATTGAAAACATTATTGAGAAATACGAATACTAATAATAGGCCTACTTATCTCTCAGAATGTAGTTCTGAGGGTGAAGCTTTTTTTTTAAAAACAGATTCTTTATTTACCGGTATGTAAGAAGCATTGAAGTAATCGGAATCCGGGTCATCGTTGATTATTGTCAGCCTAACCCTTGATGAATCATCTATAATGGAGTTTAAAGATGGATATAGAGATATATTTAGTATAAAAATTAGGACACATCATGGACTTCACATTTCCTCATAATTTTATATGAAAAAAAAAACGAAATCATACGCTTGTCAACTATTTGTATAGCCAGGGGGGAGGGGGGTGTTTCACAAAGATCCGCTAAACGTCCAACTAAAAGTAAAGTTCGACTTAGGATCTTTGTGAACCCCCCCCCCCCACTATTAAAGTGCATTAGATTAAACCACATCAACGAGGGCATATCCGTATTATTGATAACATAATCGATAGCTAGAAACTGTTATGTCGCTTCACAAGCACGCATAATTATGTCACCGACGTTAGTTAAATATTATCCGCGTTTCAAAGGGATTTTAGCAAACTTGTACTTATGAGGCTCTAATTGTAAAACAATGCCTCATTACCTCCAGAGAAAGTGAATTGATGTTTTGAAAAAATGTATGATGAGACAACTTACATGGCAGGATGTTCTTGTATCTGTTCTTCTCGAAATTTACCGTCTTCTCCGCAACGGTTTGTGGGAAGATATTTGCCTTTGGTAAACACTGTGTTAAGAGAGATTCGATTACAATATTTTCGTACTCATATACAGAAGATCAAATAAGATGGTTTTTGTCGAGTTTATTTGATTTTATATTGTACCAAGGAGTTGGAATGACACACGATCCCAAATACTTTCGAGAAATCAGTTCAATGGTAAATTTTAGTATCCTACAATGGATTACGCAATAATGTCCGTCAACACAATTAACTTGATCTTTGTGATCAAATTGTTTGCGCCTAGAAAAAAGCAATTTCCTGTACAAAAGGCTTTTTTTATTTACGACGTTCTGGGTGGCGATCGAGTAATGTGTGGTTGCCAAATTTTGTAAACATGGTACCGGTAAATTTCAGTCATATAGAAAGGCTACAATAGTATCCTCTAGTTCTTCTAAGTCTTCAAAACCATTGTGAGCATGTGGATATTCAGGAGAGACAAAGGCCACAAGAAACCTGGACAGAAAACGTCTAAAGAAAACAACTTACAAGGAATTCCTCGTAAAACACGTCTGTGTGTCTATTCTTCTGAACGAGGGTAGCAAACTGTGAGAGGGGTATCGGGCGACGCTCCTTTGGTGATTCCTCCGACCTTCTGGATTTCGGTACATCAGCCTCGTCCAAACCGTTTGGAGCCAGTTGTGGTTCAGGCATGGTGGATGGCTTTGGTAGTACCACCGGTTTCCTTGGTGTCACGGTTGGAGACGTCTTTGGTTTATCTGATTTTCCAGTTTCAACTTCTGGATATGTTTAAAGAGGCGAGAAGGTGGGTGTATAGGCAGTGTATCTGACAAGCATAATTTGCATTTGTTTTAATTAGCGAAACGATAGCTAGGCTAGCCTACAGTATCTTGTAAGGCAGAAATATACCTCGAAAAAAAATCATGTATTTTGTAAGCTCTGTACGGCGAGTATTAGTTTTACAATAATAAATCATTGCCCCAACTGATTGTTAGCATCCCTTGAATTGCCATTTAGACCTGGATACCGGGTATTTTCCATACACGCACTGAAACTAATGTGCGTGATAGGACCAAAGCTGCCATCTGCGATTCTTAGGGATTTGGTGACTTTTGGGGCTCACCCCTCCAAAACAGAAAATGGTAGATGGGTGCAATAATAGTCTATAATTGTCTCCGTATGAAGCCATGTCATACTTTTAATTTGACCCGAAATTTTGTTTTAATATTTATTCATAGAACGGCCCTTTTATGTTTATGGTAGGGCGGACTAATATGATTCTTTGCACCAATGTGGTATACCGCCAGGTAACGTCCTTTCGGTCCTGCTTTTGTGTATTTATTTCCTCATCAATTGTCCATAGTAATAGCTGTTAGGCCGTCCCTACTCCTATGCGTAGAACTTTAATGTGCGTTGGCGTTTCAAACTGAAGGGATGTCAGCTGTGCAAATACAAGATAAGGTGATTGACACTATGAACATGACGGACAAAGAAAGAGGACAAAATATACAGTCCTCATTCTACCCTCAACAATTGCTGGGGTAGACAAAGGAACATCTCTTCACTGCTGAATATGCATGTGACACATGTTCTACACATTTTTTACATAATAGCAGTGAAGGAATGTTCCTTTGTCTACCACAGCAATTGTTGAGGGTAGAATGAGGACTGTATATTTTGTCCTCTTTCTTTGTCCGTCATTTTAATGTGATTTACATACCTTCGGATAAACCACCGATGTAAACATTATCATCTCTATAGGTGACCGGTTTGGAGACTTCGTTCCGTGGGTTTCTACAATCAAGAATATATGATAAAAATGACAAGAGAGACAATGATAACAATAATGACACTGATGACAGAAACTATAATAATATTAATCACTGTACTACTACTACTACTACTAGTAACACGAATATTAATGATAATCATGATAATGTTCATAATAATCATGATAATATTCATAATAATCATGATAAAAACAAATCAAATACTAACTATGATGATACACATCAATATCGAATAATTAAAGGCGCTTCTTACAACAGGCACAAAATGGCTAAAAGTGTTTTGACAGAAAAATACAAACAATACAAAATAATTGATTAAATCAAACAACCAGGTAGGAAAAAGATATGTTGTATCGGATCCTTTTGGCGAGAGAAGTTATAAGGTGTTTAGTTGCTCCCCGTTTCTGTCTAACTTTTTTTTTAATAGGCGCGGCGACTTTGATGGAACATTAAGATTAAATTTGTAATTATTGGATCTAATATTATAAAATGATCTACATGTACATATCGCTAGGAACCAGGGTCTCAAGCATTGCCGAGAAATCAACATAAGGCAAACCATCAACATTGTGAAATGTTCAGACATCGCAGTTTTATGATTTCTTGAAAGTCTTCGTGATCTTGTTTGGAAATTAGTTGTGAGATGAGTAAGGGTTTATAGACGTCCAAACTTTCTTTTAGATAATTGGTTTACCTTCTCCTCCGTAGTACAATGATGATGATGACAATAATCAATAAAACAAAGATTATTCCTCCTATTGCCCCACCAACACTGGCGCCAATTGCAGAAGGGTCGGGAGGTAGTGCTATGGATTAAAGAAGGTGTAAAATACAAACTTTATATGGCAGAAAATTAAGGATACTTATCGATTAATGGTATTTGCTAACTGACGTCTTGTCTCCATTTTATTATGAAAATGTTCGGAAATCTCATTAACTAGTCTACGCGGATCATGATGATAATGATAATAACAATAATGATAATAACGATCAAAGAAATTTAACAATATTTAAAGCTATAATTATAAAAATAATCATAAATATGGTGAAATACACTCAGCCAAAAAGAAAATACACACACATAAAACAGTGTTATATAAATCTGGTTCCGACCGAAACCCTATAGCATCACGCTTTTGACAGGACTAAGCCCAGAGCAAATATCGGATCACACCCTGGGACATTTACTATACATCATCCTATATCCTAAAGCCCAATTGCAACCTTAATCCAAACCCTAAACTTTCGACGAAATACATTCCGATCGATTGTAGCCGGAGCAACTATCGGATCACCAAGGACTCACCTATCTTCAGAGTTATCACACTCAGAGCAGGTCCTTTCTCCCCTTCACCGTTAAGTCCCTCACGAACTGCTGAAATTTGAATCTCATATGCTTGACCTTCATCCAGACCAGTCACGTTGTACATCAGTAGCCCTTCATCTTCTTGTCTTCTCTTCCTTGAAGATACAGTCCCTGAGGATACCATCTCCATCGGAACACCTGATGATGTTATAAAGGTGTTTGTTTCGTTCCCATCTGAAGTAGTAACGTAGACCTTGTACCCAATGATAGGACCTTCGCCAACATCAACGTTTACGGTCCAAGAATCCCAAGCAATGATGACATAGTTGAAACCTAGGTCTGCTACCTCAGGCGCCTTGTTGAAGACCGGGAGAACTGAAAAGAACACGGCAAACGTCAAGGATGCAGTTAAAAAATAACAGTGTCAATATAATGATATGTTAGCGGTTGTAAATCCCAAGTTCCTGATAAAACAGGACTCCTGAACTTAAAATATGGGACCCTGATCGAAAGTTAGGTACAACTTCTTTGAATACAGTATTTTTATTTTCAATTTAAAAAGGTATTACTTCTTCGGGCAGTAGCCGATATGATCCATTTGGATGAAATTGATCATTTGTCCCTATTTCATTTCAAATTTGTATGTGAATGTAAATTCATTTAAAGTCACAAGGCAATCAAGATAAAATTGGTTTAATTGAATTTTACCTTTCTCACCAAACATAGGTGTTTTTTTTCTCTCTCCCTCTCTCTCTCTCTCACACACACACACACACACACGCACTCTCTCTCTCTCTCTTTGATGGGATTGTTTGAATCCTTTTTTCCAGTTTACTGATACTTGTAACCAAAAATAATTTATCATCTGTTTCGTAAATTCATCATTTAAGCACCTACCGAATGTTTCAGGCAGTGGCAACCTGATAAAAGCAAATCCAATGCCACTTGTTGATGTGCCAACTAAACAGTAGATGGGTTGGTTCCCGTTGACATTAACGGAAAACGTAAAGTTTGCTTGTAATGAAGATTGATCAGAAGCAGTACTTGCGGCCTGTGCATTTTTCCAGTTTTCCATTGAGAAATCCCCTACAGTAGCCTTAATGGAAGGGATGTTGCCACTTGTGTCGGTAGAAAATGTGCAGGAAAACATCGCAACACCTGGGTTGGTTTTTTCTCGTGTAATGCTAAAGCGATCTTCAAAGACAAACATTTGTACAATATTAGTCTACAAATACATGGAAAAAACTAATTCATTGAAAAAAGAAAATGATAAGATTTTATGCTCTTTTTATGAGTCGCTAATATAACAGTCCATTGTACCGGAGTCTTGGCTCAGTCAGTAGAGCGTCCGCCTCACAACCAGGAGGTCGTGGGTTCGAACCCCGGCCGCGTCATACCAAAAGACGTTAAAAGATGGGAGTTGTTGCTACCTTGCTTGGCGTTCAACAATAAGGGATAGAGCAACGTCGATCTGGCGCTGCTCAGTGGCTGCCGGGCTCACGATCAATTGGGCAAAAAGAATTTCCGTTTCGGTTTAATAAAATTTGGAGTCGACTATTTATTATTATTATTATTATTATTCTATATTCAACCAAATAAATTGGCCTTTCGATTACAGCATTTTGATCTTTAAAAAAAATTGGATCAAACTATAAGTATTAGTTGCACTGCTTACTGAACTTCGTGTTGTAATCAATAGTTATAACTAACTTTTCAAGGAATTTATGCATATCATTTCTTGCATTTTATTGAGCGCTGCAGTGTTATTCACTGGTAGAATTGATAGCATGTATTTTTAAAAATCTTAAGTTGAAATATTCGTTCGTTATTAAATGAGGTGACCAGTCATCTCTTTGAATTATTTAAAAAAATAAGCAACCCTCAACTTATCATGTTATCTCTAAGTTCATTTCATTTCAATTAAGTTCAGGCTTTGTGTTTCTCTTATGAGAATACAAATGATACCCACCTACGTTATCTGTTTATAAATATTGTATGGACATTAGACCAAACAAAGACTATGAGAAAAAAATACAGCATTGAAAATTGGGTGTACAGGAAAATGATGAGAATATCATGAAAAAGATAAATTCAAAGTAAAATAGCGACAGGGTTTATGAAACAAAATATCCTCAGGCTGAAAAGAATTGTTAAAGATAGTAAGATTAAATACTTTGACCGCATTTAAGAGACATCAGACTCACTTCGAGATGAAGGATTTCTTGAAAGAAAAGGTAGAAGGTAGCAGACCAAGACGAAAACCAAGAACCAACAAGGATGGGAACATTAAAGACATGGAGTCGAATGACACTGCCAGGGTGTACTAGAATGGCAGAGAACAGAGATGTGTGAACAAATGCTTCAATTAACCTCCGAGTTGGGATAACATACCATGATAGATAGATAAGTAAATAGTACTAACCAGTTTGACATTTGTCTCCCGTCCATCGTGGATGGCATGTACCTTGAGAGCAGGCTCCGGTTGCCTGGTTGCAGTCCTCGACACCACCAGCACAGTGGCATGTCTTAGAACAAGACTCGAAACATCCAGCAACTAAAGAAAGTAAACATATCGGATGGGAGGAAAGAACAACTGAGCAAAAACGATTGGAAGAAAAGCAGTTTCACAATGTTGCATTCACAACATTCAGTTTTTATTAAGACTTTCTTTAAAGTGCATTTTGAATATTAATACTATTAATTACAGAATTAAATATTGCACGAGGGGAATAGCAAGCTAAACCACTGGAACGTCTGGGTCCCACCTTCCTGTACAAATGATTGAGATATGCAGGTGTGACGAGGGTGAATGATGGGGTTCCCATATTCATTATAATCTTGAACCCAGAATGCAGTGCGTTTTCAATGTCCTCAGCTTCGCGGTGACTAAACAACCTCCCAGACTGATGGTTATTGTTGTCTTTGTTGTTATTTTAGTTTGATTACCAACATTTACGCTGAAGCTGGTATTGCATGGCAAATTTATTTGAAACAGTTAACATCAATGGGCAATAAGTTGCTGCTGCAGTAAAGTAATTATATATGATGTAGGTTCTTGTGACAATATAACTCTTGATAAGGTAGTTCTCGCAAGGTTAGTCTCAATTCATGATGCACACAAATAAAATAAGCGGTTATACACGAATGTGAAATTCACAAGCCCCCGTTATATTCTAGGTTACTGCCAATATCAATCGATGTTTTATAATTGTCCTTAGCTAAAGTAAAATGTCTTACATGTGACACATCCATCTGGTCTCTGTGGAGAGTCAGCAACATAGCCAATCTCACATTGTCCTCCCGATGATGTACAGAAACCGGAGTCCTTCTCACATTCCGAGTCCTCTGGACAGTTACAGAACTCTGTGCAACTTATTCCAATATATCCGACTGGACAGACAGAGGGAACTGCGAAAATGGTATGTGTATTCAAAGATACAGATAATTATTATTATAACATACACAATAACAATGATAATAATAGTATAAACAATACCAATAATAATGAATATAAACGACACATTTATTGTGAATGCATAGATCTCAAATTTCTCTAGAAAAAACCCTTCCCGATAGTCATTTACCAGATGTCATTTCAAGGTTTGCCTACACACTATGGAGGCACCTTTTTCACTCCAATGAAAGCATTCCAGCCAGGCACCCTTTTAGAGACGTCCAACATACTGAATAAACCACAATAACTTTCACGTTTGGCCTATCATTACGAAAAACTATGGCATAATGTTAAGTACAGCCTTTCCCGATCAATTCGATTCAGGGAGAAAAGACTTTGTTTTTTCTTCACCATCATTACTGTTCTTACCAAAGGAGAATACTCAAATGGGAGGGCAGCGAAATCTTTGTCTGCACGCACATATTCTATTTTGATAAACCTAATTTTACATTTCTTTTTCAATACCTAGACTAGCTATGAGAGTTTAATGCTGTCCCAAAGGTAGATACAGTACAGAACCTATGGAGTGCAGTATACCATGCAATTTACATAGTCTTGTAGTTCAGACACTGTTCCACATTACGACTGACTAGGGATAAAGAGACCAATGATCTGACAGTATTGTCCAGTGATATATGTATTAAATTGTATACCCACCAATGGAAATCACGATTGAAGATATTCTCGACCAATATGGACACCACAACATCCTGCCAAAACTTAATGCGACCTGGCCTACCCTGTCATTAAACAGGGAAAGTCTAAGACAAAGTTATAGTTGCAACCCATTAAATACAATCATGTACATTTCAGCTACCTAACATGCATGACCAACGGATACAGAAGATATGTGTTTATATTATAATATACCAGCAAGTCCACCAAAGAAAGTAGGCATACCTTGACATCCTTCTCCTGACCAACCATCCTCACAGTCTCCATCACATCTTCCCCTGAAGACGTCACATGGCATCCCTCCTGCACAGTGGCAATCCTGAAGGCAGTCAACACCAAACTTACCCGGAATGCATTCTGAAATTAGATTCATGACAGTAAAAACGGAATTAAAGATAAAGTTGAGTTTTGGTCATGCAATTGCATTGTGAAAGAAACAGTGTGGAATCGATCAGAAAAGGTTGATCATGTAGCAAATAACTATTGGCGTGTAGGCCTACTGCAAGGTTTCGAAATCATCAAAATGATATAAATAAGAAAAGTAATGCTCTTCGAATTTCAACAGCGGTCTCAAAAAATATTTGTGTAATTGTATTAAACAATTCAAACGATGTGTTAGTCTTTTGAAAATCTTGTGATCGTTTTTATGTTGCATTAATGTATCTTACGTTTATCGCAGTATATTCCTGTATAACCAGCCAGGCAGTTGCATCCGTAGGGATCGGGTAGACACACCTGGCTTCCACTGCATTCTTGTAGAGCATTCCCAGCTCCACATTCAAGTTCACACTCCCATCCAAATCGGTTTTCACCGCATGCTGTGTAACAACAAATTTAGGAAAAACATACTTAATCATGTTCTTACTTACTATATGCAGCCCCTGCACTTGAATTTTTGATGCAAGATATCAAACAAATATACCATGCCTTCTATTCGAGGTACTTCGTGCCTGCGCCCCTCAGCAAATAGTACTATTGGAGTCACCTCTTGCGCATAGTTTTAACCAGAACCTCTCAAGACAGTGTATATTTGTATACTATTTGTACATATGAAGGTACCCTATACTCCCCCGCCCCCCATCCTTCGAAAGGGGCGGGGGGGGGGGGGGAGAAGGACAAAAAGGATTTGTAAACATTAGCACGCTGAGAATAATTATTGGTCAAGGTTTACCGGTTTTGTCTAATTCATTGTTTGGACTGCATACAATGAAATCTAGACTGATAATACCTCAGGTGTACATAACATGTATAGAATATTTCTTTTTGATATCATTAACTCAATATACATCAAGAAAAAATATGTGGTCTCTCATATTTTCGCAAAAAGCCAGAGTAACTGAACAGTGAGCGTTTTCATTCAGAACTGAAACTGCAAACTTCAGTTGCAATGAAAGTACAAAGAGGGTGTGGGCGTAACAGCGTGTGTGTTTGCATGTGTGCGTTTCTTTCCGTGCGTGTTTATGTTCATGAGTTTAGCATTGCATATCACAAATAAGCTGTGAACACTTTGTTGTGCAATAGGTAGGACTCATACTATGATTTCTGTGTATACTAAGGTGTTTACTTCGCCATAGAGGAAACATTTGGACGTCTCACCAGTAAGACAGTTTTTGCCCATGAATCCTGGAGGACAGATACAGGTTCCTGATTGAGGATGACAAATCCCTCCATTGTAGCAATTATCACATAGACGATCACAGGATGGGATATTCCATCGGCCACTCGGACAATCTATAGGGATAAAGTGGAATCAATATGGCATAATCTTTGGTTGAATCTTGAATTTTATATATTTGTCTCACAAAAGTATAATGATTGGGTATAGGGCTAGTAAGAAAATACAGTTACAGTGCTTTTATCTGTACGTAGGGCAATCTTCAAAGTGTATGGAGCTCAATAATACCAACAAATTGTAAAGTTCAAGAAAGCTTTATCGACTTCTAGTTATAGTACACTGTTTGAAACTAATGTTATGATCGTAATTCCTTCAGATAGTATCATCATTTTCAAATTATAATAAAACGTATTTTTGAAGAAAGGAACGAAATTACAGAGAGATTTCCTTTATATATTTTTCAAATTATTAGAACAACGGAATGGATAAAACGAAATTCTAGTCTTACCACTGACAATGACGCGAATCAAGCTGTACATTAGATTTTCAACCATGCCGTTTTCAACCGTTCCGTAAATATCAGCATTTGTCTTCGTTGCCGATCGAATGGTATAGGTCAGAGTCCCGTCTCCCTCTGGAGACAAAGATCCTTCAGCGAGGTTTGAGAAAGTCCTCCATCGGATTTCATCTTCACCTGCTGTGTACGTATCCGTGGTAGAAACTGAGAGTGTGATGTCGTCACCTGGATAAATCGTTTTCGTGAGACGGCCGTCAGTTGGTTGAAAATGTCCTGGAAAAAGAAGAAAGGAAGAAGTGAAGAGGGCTTCTTACTGTAAAGTATGAACTATATAAATGATTGATAATGAAACATAATTTATAAAAAATAAAAAAAAAGGCTTCCTACTATAAGTACTAAGTGTTTGTTTGTTTTATTTCCGAAAATCATCATAAAAAACAATAACACAATATAACAAAATCAAAGACTTATATAACAATGATAGAATGATAAAACGGTTGGATAGTCCATTTCAGAGCCATTAACCTAATGGCTCTGTTCTTCCGTGGAAAAGGTACGATTGGTAATGACACAAACCACAGATCTGTCATGAACTGTCTGAATAATTAAAACTAGAAAGCTCATATTAGGTACTAGTATTCTAAAAAGAGGTTTTGCTAGTCGGAACCTTGATATATATTTTGCCTTCTCTCTCAATGTGCAAAAAACACTCCAATCATGCAACAACAAAAAACAAAACAAAACATGACAAGTTTCGAAATGTGAACTTCATAAGTGTGAGCTTTATGCAGTGGTTAGGATGATGAAGACAATGGCGTCGATGCCGGTTATGATGATAGTGCTTCTGACTATTTATATGGCGCCATATTTATGTTAAATATATGTAAAGACTCAGAATGTCCTAAGTTTAAGAACAAAATATGTGGTAAGGTTTTTTAAAAGTTATTTATTAATATGTCAGTTCTATTCTCAAGCACTCTTTACTCGATTGCAAATTTAATTATACTTACTGTCTTTTGAGAGAATTGTTACATCTGCTGATGTTGAAATACCAGTAGTTGTAGATGTACTCGAGCACTTATAAAGACCAACGGATGTCACATCACCAGGTAGATCCTGTATTAATCTACCTGTCTGAGTTGTTTTCGTGACCGGGACGTCCAGTGTATACCCATCTGTGGTGAGACTCTGTACAACTACTCTCTCAGTGTAGGTCAGAGTGCCTTCCGTGTTGTTAGGAGGGCTGAGAATGCAGGAGAAACGTGGAGTAGCTCCCGAACTCCCGAAAGGTGTTGACGTCATGGCGAGTAGATGGAGTGGTGGGGCTGGGTAGAGAGATTATCAGAAAGAAAGATTGTTGGTAATAATGCATTACCCAATTTCTCTCTTAAGTGTGTTTCTATATTGGTTGAGAATAAGAAGGGCATTTCATATTCTTACCGATGAAATAGTTCTACATGTGCCTCGCTTATTATTCATTTGTAATATGTAATCCAACTCCACCCCTCCCCTCTAAAACCGTCACTTAGTGTATTGAAAATATCTGCCTATTTCGCCCTTCAGTCATTAAAAAAATATATGTTTCCTGTGTCACGGCTATCATGCATAGGAATGAGAAAGTTTAGTGGACAACACCTGTCAATGTATACGGTAAACTCCAAATCGTTACCCAAGTTCTGGTAATTCTAATGCTGATATCTATTAATTTCGCAATATTCATTGTCTTCAATTTGCAGAAAAAAATTTAAACATGGCTTGGCCATCGAATTCAGCTGATATTTGAGACTAATAGTGACTTCGTTAAATGTAAAAGCATTTATTCGATTGATGTTTACGTGAGAATGGATACGAATGTCATTTATTTATCTTTATTCAAAGTTTCAGCAGACACCTTAGTAGAAATAAAAAAGTTAGGTCACATTTTATCACTGCTATCACATTATTTAGTTGATATTTAAATAACATGACATACCCTCTGATTTCTCGCAGACAAACCTTCTTGAATCTCCGCTACAAGGTAGGTCATTCCAGCCAATGTTTGTCGTTTCTACACAGTGTTCGTTCCCACGGTAATTATTTAGATTCCCGCCAGTGAATCTGCACATTCGAAGTTATAAACGTTTCTTTATATTACATTTGTTTAAAATTTGTGGTACTGTGAAGAATGAAATATCAAGAATTAATTTACCTTTCATGTTAAACAAGCAAACACAGAAGATGTATGCTGGAAACAACGTATTAAAACTAGCGAAATTGCAGTTTTCTTAGTAAATCAATCCAGAACAATAACAATTAACAATTTATAGGGGTGGCTTAACAGAAAAAAAAGCTGAAGCCCTAATCTACGCAACAGTAATCGTCAGAAGGGAAAATTGGTTCCATGAGCTGTAAATATGTTACTACAATGCAGGCGCATACGGAGGGGAGGGGGTGTGGGGGGTTGAACAGCCCCCCTTCAGTTTTTTATGTGTGTATTTTGGAACACCCCCCCCCCTACCTATTGTTTTTAATCGTAAACTTTTTACACGTAAACTAACGGGGATCTAAGCAAAATTTATTTATGTGGCCCGTTACCATTGGCAATGAGCATCTTTTAAAAACTATTGACCGATAGAATCAATACTCCAATTCGACCAACCAGATGACTAGATTTATTCAACATCCTAAAGAGAGGTATATCATAGTTACTAATCAAGACCGGCTATGGTTAATGGGCAGTGGCATTATGTTGCACAAAGCAATCCTTCTTCCAATTGGTACCTATTGTTTTGTACAGAAATGCGTGTGTGGTAAACGGGCGACCGTGCAGATATAGAGGTGAAGTGTGAAATTAGTAAGAAATGTGGATGAATCGTTGTCTACTCTACAACCAGTTTCGTTTAACAGCCAATAGTCTATTCCCATATGGTCTACACCAGGTCTGTCTCATACCGATGTGGTCTAATCATCATTTTGGCTACTTATCATTTGGTCTTATTCCAAGTTTGTATAATGGCCATTCGTCTTCTATCCATATGGTTTAATAATCATTCAATCATAATTATTGATATTCATCAAATGATTATTAGACCTTGTGAATGGAAGACAAAATTGACATTAGACAAACTTGGAATTAGACCGACTTGAAATTAGAGTAAATGAGCGATAGACCAAAAGGGTAGTAGACTTATTGGAGATTGGACCGATTTGAATTTAGACCACGTGATTATTAGCGCAAATGGTCATTAGACAAAATGATAGGTTGACAAAATGATTATTAGACCATGTGGATAGTACACACGGCGGGTATAGACCATATAGACCAATCGGGTAGCAGACGAACTGGTTGTAGATAAAAAGACTATAAACCATGTACTGTTTATACATCTATCTCGAAATGCCCAAGCAAAGAGAGAGGGAGGGTGGGGATGGGGATATGGGGAGAGGGAGATGGAAAGAGAGAGAGAGAGAGAGAAAGGGGAAAAAGAGAGAGAGAGAGGGGAAGGAGGGGAGGGAAAGAGAGAGTGAGAGAGAGATGGGAAAGAGAGAGAGAGAGAGGGAATACAATATCATCTTACCCTGTATTTCTTAACAGCGTTCCATCAGCCCATCGGAAATCGCCTTCCTTGCTCAGATCATCAAGCCCAATCCAAAATTTTCCGTTTCCAATATTTCCCAATTGATTTCTCACTGCTGACTGTATTATTAAGAAAACAAAAACAATTTTCTATTTTATTTCCAGTGAATTTCTCGTCATAAATGGAAGTTTGAAGTATTTATTTTAGAAAACGTACGAAAATAGCAATCAATATGATCAAGGAGACCTGGATATAAATGAGTCGTGATATTCAGTTGGAAGACACATGGTCCGGCGACAATCACATCGTGGTTGATTTAATTGAATTGCATCATTTAAATAAACATGACACGCAGCTCAAGGCTGATTTTGTGTTTATTTTATTAAAGAAACCGAAACATATTCAAATATTGATATAAAATAAAATAAATAACTGATAGAAAAGGGTTGAGTTGATTACCGTCTCGGTGATGACACTATTTCCAAACATCATGTATCCATGTTGAATAATCTAAAGATTAGGAATAAACTACACAAGTTAAGCGAAGTTCAATACGCTTTATTTCTAATCAGGTAATGACTCCTTTAATTCGTTTCTTCTTTTGTAGCTTTAAAATCTACTTAGATATGGGTTATGCATTAGAGCAACCCTTTTTGAAACATCAACTCTGTGTAGGGCCGGGTTCTTTAAAAGTTGTAAGCCTAATCGGAAGTGATCATGTATCTTGCATAAAAGCGAGTATTTGCGGCCTTGTATGCTTTATCCAGTCCGACAAAACACGACTTACATTGATAGTTGATGTTTTTAACTGCGCAAGTCGTCCACCTATTTGATGACAATATTCCGTTGCATTGAAAAAGCTTGTGTCGAAGGTTGAAATTGAATACTGCACGTTTTGCACTCCTGTAATATACGTCCATTGTCCAGTTGGTACTGTGAGAGAACAAATGAAAAATATCCTATTTTAGCAAAGGCCCTGAAAAAAATCAAAGAGAAACAACATCTTTAGAAAAGAAGAATGAAATAGAATATATAAAAGCGACATGTCACAGTACAGGAGTGACTTCTTGACCGTTCGAAAAATCATCTTTAATAACACTGTGGTAAAATGACATTAAAAGTACGGACAGTAAATTGGCAACATTAAATGAGGCATTATCATGATACGTGCCAGAAAATTTTGATTAGTGAGATTCTTAAAAATCGCTAAAAGATTATCTATTCTCTTGTCTTTTTTTAACAAGATTGGTCCGACAGCCCTCCCTCTTTAGATATGATTTAGCAATGTCCCTGCTCTCAAGGCATGCTCTCCCAGGATTCACTAATTTATTGACTGTACGCTCTCTATAATCTCCTAAAATTAACCGTTAGTTACCTTGTGGTCTCTCACAGATGTACGGCAGTGTGTCCCCACAAGATCTTCCGTCCCATTGACCATGCCTGTTAGCGTCATTCCCATCAGACCACAAACACGCGCAGGCTCGCCCGGTAGAACTCGGCTCATCAGGAGCCCAGATAGGGTTACTAAAATGTAATAGTAAATATTAAAGGTTATTCGGGTCATGTAATGAATAATCTTGAGCTTGTTGATAACAACATATACTTGTTTTCTTTCTGTGTTTCCACGATATAAGAGAAACAAATTTGTAATAGAAGTTCATAGGATGAAGAAAATAATGTAAATACAGTTGTAAATAATGAATATGAAACAGCAATGTTGGCATAGATGGCGGCAATGTAAAATTCCATTATGCCACGCATTTTCCAATACCCTCCAATGATTTGGTATTTGCTAATTTGGATTTGTATGGGTATCGCCAATGTGTTACCATGTTTCAAATGTGTTTCGTTTTGATATACACTTGTATATGTATGTTTATTTCATTGTGTGTGTTAGTAAGGGCGTGTGAGCATGGATCTACTCGTTGAGTGATTTCAAGTTCGGTGTTGAAAGCTGGTGTTAGTGTTGTGAGAACACCAACACCACTACAACACCAAACTTGAAGTCATGCTGGTGTTGAGGTTGACCGCAGAAAATATGACGCATTCCGGAAATCTGTGTTGAGAGCTGGTTTTGAATGTCGTCTACTGAACCGAGTATCTCGGTTGGTGTTGACGATTTACGTGTTATTTTCCCATTCACCAACACCAGCCCCTAGGGAATTGGGACATTTATGATTTCAAGTTCGGTGTCGGTGTTGGTGTTGCAGTATACCGCAGGTAACTATGCGGGCATCTGTTACGAATCCCACGATCAAGCTAAGGTAAAATCCATTTTCCAGCCAAAGCAACTGTAAATCATGAGCGCTCAATATGTTTTTCAAGAGAAATTATATTTTCTCTATTCATTTTTTAATTATGACTTTATAGTTGATATTCGATATGATGTAATTTATTAGAATTTCTGATTGGATTATGCTTTTATCACAATGATTTTCTCCTGTAGAGAAGGACGTCACTCGGTGTTAAGGGTTAGTGTCGAGCTATCGATGACGTAATCAGTTCCGTCCTTCTAATACAAAAATAAACTGACCGTCGGTGTTGGAGCTCGGTTCACCAGCCTTTCCACGCTCTCAACACCAAAACCAACACCGGACACCGTACTTGAAATCACTCATTGTAGGTCCATGGTGTAAGTGTGTGTTTATGTGAGCATGTGTGGAGGGTGTATTATGCCTCAGTCACACCTTTGCGTATTTGGCTTGCGTATTGCTGCGTATTTATGGCAAGCCGTTTTAACATATATTTCTATTCCTTGATATCAAGATTTGAATTCTTGATATCAAGAAATGAATTCTTGATATCTAGAATTGCCATTGCTTTACAACAGAAAATAAATGTATTTCTTAATATCAAGAGATAAAGAATAAATGTTAAAACGGCTTGCCATAAATACACGTCAATACGCAAAGCTGTGCCTGAGGCAAAGGTGTGTTAGGCAGTGCGTGTGTGTGTGTGCGTGTCTGTAAACCGTTCAACAGCATTTCACATGATAGATATGCGCTGCCAGTTTTGCCCAGCAAAACAAACACAAAAGCCATAGAATATCACCTTATTTGAGTTTCATCAATCCAGGTGAATGGCTCAGCATCCGCGCTTCGACTTAGACCAAACCAGTAACAAAAAGGCGATGAAAGGGCAGGCGATGCAAACGATGTTAGGAACGTCTGTATAACAATTAACAATTCATTTAACATAACACTGATCAAAAGATGGCTGCATTAAATACGACATACAACATAGAGTCTTCTTCCGACGTATACTGTTGCGATTTGGATTTCGTGAAAATCTGTTGGAAGCCAATTGATTTCTTACATCAGATTGTTAAAATATTTTCTTCAGTCTTCAAGGGAAAAAAGGGACGCCACAGTTTGAGGTTATCTTTCCAAATTGACTGATTTATTTTCACATTCTGGTAGGACCGTTTACATTTTTGAACTCTCAATGTTTTGTTTTGTTTTCAAATTACAAAAAGGTAAATTTTGTTGTTCTTTTGAAATCACGATAAACAAAACATCATCTGTTTGATGTAGTCCACATTGATTTTTGATGAAATTAAAATTGACATTTATTTCCGTCTCAAGATATTAAAAACGATTGCGATAAACAATATACAAATATAAAGATACAAACGATAACATCAGAGAATCGAAGAGGACGAAACTGTAAGTAATTATGGGAAAATGGGTACATATTTTACATGTAGGCCTAAACATAGAAACAACAAATTTAGCGGACATAAAGCTTCATTTGCCACACTGGACCCAGCTGAGGTCAATTTCTAGAGAGTTGTTAGAGCAGTCGTATTAAAGACGGGGGGGGGGGGGTAATATGGACTTTCAGATTGAATGGACGAGAACGGCGTGAACGTCCACTGATCATGCGTGTCAAGCCGTTTAAAAAAAAAAAATCACATTTCTCGACATCAAGAATTCAATTCTTAATATCAAGAATTACCATTGCTTTACAACAGAAAATCATATATATTGATATCAAGAAATAGGAATAAATGTTTAAACGGCTTGCCATAGACACGCATGATCAGTGGACGTTCACGCCGTTCTCGTCCACTCAATCTGAAAGTCCCTATTGTGAAGCTTCAGGAGTGTCAACCCTGACGGATAAGTAATCGTATCAATAAATCAAAAACTTTCTTTTCTCACATGCATGATATAATGTTATTCATTATACCGAGTCGCTATGAAAGTAAGAAATGTGACGACAAGTGAGTGTATAAGTTTGTTTTATTATGCTTAATCTGGAAATAGACGCTGTAGTTCATAGAATTACCAGGAAGAAACAAAATGTGATCATACCTTATACATTGTAATAGCTGCAATCATACTTACATTAAGTTCTGCTGATCCGATAATTGCCAATCTCCCACCATTATTCGAACACTCTGTATCGGCTAGATCAAAAGTGTTCCTAGCTCCCATGAAGCGATAAAATGAATGCCCGAACTGGTGCCAAGAACAACGTGAATCTGCAAAATGAAACGCTGATTATTTGTTCTGATATATCATTCTTCTATTGATCAAAGTGTCCATAATCAGTAAGACATTAATATACACTTGCCACGCTTCACTCAGGTACCTGTTAACGGTAAGAAAGAATATCCTTAAATGCTGGGAGCATCGAATTCCGTAGTCTAGGTAAAGCCGGGGTAATGATTAAGCGCATTAAATACCATGCGTGGTGGGTATGTGCGCTAGAAACTTGCTAATTGCCCCCGATGAATCTATCCCGGATAATGATTCAGTAGCAGCAAAAACACGTAGCGGAGATAGAAATTAAAACTGAAATTACAGGCTTGCTATGCTTTCTTAATCTAATTCTACACACAACATCTCCAAAAACGAAAGGCAAACTTTGAAATATCTGAAGATTAAATTTGCCCTCGTCATTCTCACAGTGGTCAAGTGCCCAGCCAAAGACAAAAGCGACACAACTGATCCCTTTTCAATTGTGGGGATCCAGACCTTGGCCTCCGCAGGGACAAACCATTTGTGATTTTCGGGTGCATGATTTCATGCCTTGGTTTGCGTTTCTTTGGGGATGGTGGCGAGAAAGAGCGCATAATCTGGATCCGTTTCCCCTGTTCTGCTTGATCATCATGACATTTAAAGGGCAAGTTCACTCTGCAAATGACTTACTTACAATAGAAGCAAAACAAACAGACAAACCAATCAAAAAAGGTTTGAGCAAAATCAGATAACTAATAAGAAAGTTATGAGTTTTAAAAAAAGGATGTAATATCTTGGAACAATGGAAATCACTACACAAATTGCCAATTTGGTTATCAGATTGTGACGTCATGTCCTCATAATTTATCAATTGCTTTATATATTTTAATCCCATTAATTTCCCTTTTTAACCCCAAAGTTTTGATTTCCCCTTGCCTTTGCCAAGGTTATATGATTTGTATCATATTGCGTGCATAACAATTCACAAAATCTTTTAGGAACTTTGAAGAATTGATTTTTATATAAAAAGTTTATCAAAACTCACATTTTTTATGATTTAACTGAAAGAAAAATACTCTTTATTAGTGCATCCACACAAAAACATAATTTATTATCAATCTAACTTGGATGCTGGTGTGAAGATTAAGATTTTTAGGGGGAATAGGAAATTTCAGTATATAATCAATATAAAGAAAACAATAAGTGGATCGTGAGGCAATGACGTCACAGACTTATGAGTGAGTTGCCAATTTGTCTTGTGATTTTCAAAGTTTTTCATGTCATTAAATATACATAACTTTTTCATTAGTTACCAAATTTTGCTCAAACTTTTTTGATTGGCTTTAGTGATCTTTCTGCTTTTATTGAAAGAAAGTTATTTTTTGCTGATCGCTACTTGTTTTGTTAATTTTTTGTATAAGGTGATTGAATTTAGTTTCCTTGTTGGACATCTGTCATTAGGCATATTGCTCCTTGCTTCTCCTTCACGTTGGATAGTTTCTCATGATAGATTACCTTTTGGACGTTGGCAAATGTGAACCCGCTGATCGGTACAACTGCCGAAGTCCTCCCACTGTCCTTGAAGACCAGCTCTTAGCAGTATGCACCTCCCTTGCCCTGGTGTTGAATGGAAGTTTGAATACCTTATACAAAGGGGAAATAGGTAATATAGAGTAATGACCCTTATTATGTGCTTGAAATATGTCATGAATTATTTCAAATCAGTACGTTAATCATTATTATTATTATTATATTTAGTATTAATATTATCATTGACATTATTATTAATAATTGTATGACATTTTAAACTATCATCACTATTTTAATAATTGTTATTAACATTATTTCACCACTTTTGTATTATTTTTTTATATTTTCATTATCATATTTGTTACAATCGTATCAGATTGAATATTCCACGCAGCAACCGAACACGCTTCTGCCAATCACCGTACCCTACTCACGTTCAACACAATTCTTAATAGAGAATATAAACTATATTTATCTCCTTAAACTTATTTACACACCATCATTTAAGTAACAGAAGTACAGGATTTTTGACATGAACCGAAGATGAATAATACCGTAGATATCATAGATGCAGATGTAGGCAAGAGCAGCAGAGAATGTAAAGTGTAAAGAAAAATTATACTACACGAGAAATGAAGGAAGAGAAGTAGCGCTAAATAATTTGTGTATGAGGAATGACGTTTAAGAAGATGAATAATAATCGGTAAAGTTACGCCCCTTTTGTTTTGTGAACAGATAACATAAGTTTAGATGGTTTTTATGTAAACATGTACGTCTTTCTGTCTTGATTTCTCCTACTGCCTGTTATTGCTGGAGGAAAACTTATTTTCACATTTGCGGACAAGAATAAATAAATTATAACATTATCGATTATTTTTTGTTTATTACCCTCACATACCCATTTGAGAATCATGCCAAAGATGTATTCATAAGATGTATTCCAAAGCATATTCATAGATTTGATGTTTTCTTAGTTAAAGTCTATAAGAGCAAAGCATTTTTTTACATCCAATCATCATTGCACTACTATACGCTTATGTCTAGGGCAAGATTGACCTCATCCCTCGAGTTAGCATCGTTTTCCATGCTGTGACTCCAAATAACGAATGTATTCGAAAGTAAGAAAAACATCACAAACCTAATAAATATGTTTTTAATATGTTCATATTTAAAGTAGTACCGAATTACCCTGATAGGCTGTTGTTTATCCACGTGTATACGCCGTCCCCGTCATCCAAGTCATTCAGGCCAATCCAGTAGTTATTTCCTCCACCACTAGATTTCACTGTAAACGTGTTCAGAAACGCCTTTCAAAATGGACAAAAACGTAAGCAATCGAAATTGTCAGGCAAATAAACATTTTTGTATATACAAGGACATTGAGTACAATTCTGCTGATTATGAAACATTCATACTGTTTGGTTGTGCATAGGCGAAGCCATTGAATAGTGGTCAGCAGTACAGAACAACCCTTGACTTTTTTTATTGGGGTTTGAAGTCAATGTCTCGAATTTAACCTGAATCGTAGACCCGTGTTAAGAAACAAATATTTGCACTCGGTAAAGTCTCAAGACGCATGATGAGGATAATGAACTCGACACTACTCGTGCATTATATGTTTGTGAATAAAACATGCCAGCACTATATAAATGCACTTGCAAAAATAAATTATTTGTATGCAAATGCTACTTTTTTAATTAAAATACTACTGAAACTGGTGCTCCTGCTGTTCGTGTTGTCACCATTATAATCATCGTTTGCTCTTAAAACAATATCATTGTCCATTGTATCATTTTTGCAACCATTGTTATCAATAGTATTAACATTTTAACCTTTGATGTGGCTTTTATCATTAACTTCATCATTAACACTAATTTGTTCTTTCCTTGTTATTAGTACTAGAAATGTCATTATCTGATTATCAACTGTTGGAGCATTTTTATTATAATTTTACTATTGAAATTGACCACATTCAACAGCGATGTAGTTAAGTTTTAACAAATGTATAGAGAGAAAATCAACCACTTACGTTTTGTTCGTTTGAAGTGATAACAGCCAGATCTCCGCCTAATGATCGACAATATGTCATAGCTTCGCTGTATGTTCTACCGGGCTTGTTAACGATGAGATACTGGTTGTTACCATGCTCCAACCAAGCCGGTGTGTTGCATATCTGAGTGCTTCCTGCATGGAAACAGTGATGCAAAGATTTATTCTTGCTATAGATTTTCTTTGAAAATGATGTTATATATATATCAATATTCTGTATTACATGAAGATAACAAATCAGTATTCACACCAAACGTTCTTGGTAAAATGAAGATTTGTCAATTTTTATTAAGTGTTAGTCTGAAATGGAGATTATGACTATTCAGGGGCGAATCCAAGATTTTCGTACAGGTTGAGAAAAGTCTTGGAAAGTAAAATACAAAGTGGTCATCACATTTTTTAAAAACTATTTTGAATACGAAGTCTGTGGAAATGGGTAAACATTTTTTTTTCAGGAGGATTTTGTGAAAGGGGTGATCAAACCGCGGCACTAAATCTTGGCATGCATGTACTACGGCGAACAAAGATCAACCCAAGTAAATCAATATATTAAATTACGCTCGATTGTGACACATAGACAAGAGCTTGCCCAAACTATAAAACTGACACTTTATCAATTAAGTACAATTGAACGTTCTAAAGCATAGACGCGCGCGCGCACACGAGCACCCGCACACACTTAAATATATGTCCATGGAAAGAAACGATGTGGAATCGATCAGAAAATGTTAATCATTAAGCATATAAGTATTGGTGTAAACTGCAAGGTTTTGGAATCATCAAAATAACAACAAATTTGGCCCATGTAGTCTTGGTAAAAGTAACTTTACACAAAAATATGTATAAGGGAATATACACAAACATGTGGCATAACAATGAGGCGGACAATTTTAAGCTGTTACATGTCACATTTACTATATAAAGGCATTTGAAGAGCCATGCTTTTCAGGAAACATTTACTCTGATGTTTTTCCACATAATAACAATGGAAACGTTCACAAATAATTTGTCACCTCTCCTCAGGACTCAACCTTCTATTGAAAGATAAAGTTGAGTTCTGGTCATGCGATTGCATTGTGAAAGAAACAATGTGGAATCGATCAGAAAAGGTTGATCATCAGTCAGGCCATCTCAACTGGTTTATTAGAAGTGCCAAAACGAAAAGAACTTGTAGTTGAAGTGCCACCCTGTATGTTTGACTGTGCTGCGAGGGAGCGTAGCGACCGAGCCGAAATCGGATGGGGTCGAGGGGCGAAGCCCCAATGGGGGTAGCAGGGGCGGAGCCCTCTGAAGCTGGTGGATTTTAGGGCTTTCTTAAGGCCTAAATGGAGCATTTTTAACACCATTTCATTCCACAATATATTCAATCCTAATTTCATGTTGATGTGAACAAATTAGTACAATTCCTGGGTATAATTACACTGGAGGTAAATTTATATGTATTTTTTGGGGGGTGCAATAAGCAAGAGAAATGTCAAAATAAAGTGACAATCAAACAAACAAATCAAGATGTTTCCAGAGATTGGCAATGTTAGCATTGGTAGCCCATGGTAAGCTAACTGTTGTTCAGAAATTAGAGTCGTATAAAATGGTAAAAAATGATAAATTCCCCCTTTCTTCCTGTTTGTTAAGCAGGCATTTTGGGCTCAAATTCGACTGCAACATTTTGATTTAGCTGAGTATTTAATTTTAAAATATATATTTTCTTTCTTTCTTTCTGTTTTTGTTTTGTTTTGTTGTTGCAACAGTCGCGCGCCACTCCAACTGACCGCAAGCGCCACAAGTGGCGCGCGCGCCGCCAGTTGAGAAGGCTATTGGTGTGTACTACAAGGCTCTGGAATCATCAAAATGATAAGAAATTTGGCCGAGTCTTGGGGTCTTGGTAAACTTACACTTACTGTACGAAGAAATATGTATATGGCACTACACGAACATGTGGCGTAAAAATCTGTCCCGGTCTTTATGCTGTTATATACATGCCATATTTAAAATATTAAGGCATTTGAAGAGCCACGCTTTTCAGGGAACACTTTGTATCTGATGTTCTTCCACACTTGCCACATAACAATGATAACGCTCACAAATTATTTTTCACCTCTTTCCAGAACTGGTTCTTGGACAATTACCCCCCCCCCCGGAAAACTACCCCAAGGACAATAACCCCTCGGAAATTATCCCCCGGAGAATAAAACCCCACCCCCTTGAGGACAACTACCCCCAAGGACAATTACCCCCCCCCCCGAGAATTACCCCCCGATGACAACTACCCCCCCCGTGGACAATTAACCCCTGAGGACAACTACCCCCGAGGACAATTACCCCCGAGGTTAAGTACCCCCCCCCCCTCCCCCCAGGATTCGATCTGACACAATAGGCGGTGTCACACAGAGGCCCAACATCCGGATTTTAGTTATCCTCTTTATTGCTGTCTGTCACCAATTATCCCATTAAAAATCCTCTAACGAAGCAAGAAAATTCTCTCTTTTTTAAGGGATTTTTTCTGCGTGACACCACCTATTGAGAGATTGCTACGAGTCCACAAGATCCCATGCATGTAGGTATATGTTTCAAAAATAAATATTTGAATTTAACCACTATGAAGAGGACCGTTGTCTAACACTTGCTCCTGTGAAAACTAATCCTAACTTTAACCAAGGATCTAATACTGTGTTGATATAACCCAAATAGTTCAACGCAATCTACGGTGAAGGTTATACCAGGTTTGGAGGAAACACGATGGAACGGGAAGTTGATCTTTGGAGACGGAAAGCACAACAGTTTTCAACCTCTTCTCTTGTTTTTTATGACATACTTGACACTTCACATGATTATTCAGTTGTACGTCATCGTGACAATTAGGACGAATAAAAGTAACATGTAAGGCACGTTTGGACTGATAATCAGATACATTATTTGAACGTCGATATCATGATCGAGATACGCAATGTAAGTTAGTGCCATGTAGACGTGGTTAGTGAAATTGAGACTTAGACTAAGTTAAGACTGTCTTTAGTACGAGGAAGTCATGTACGATGTCGATGAAGAAAGACGGCGTGTGGAACTTTAGGTTTACCCAAGATCATATTCCTCTTTGCCAATTAAGCAAGGTCCAAAGAAGTTTGGCGAAATTTGAAATTAACAACTGTGCTTTACCCTAACCCTAAACGTAACTATAAAGACACATGGCAACACTAACGCTAGCCCTATGCTATTGACGAAATATAGCCTGGAGGAGCATTTGCCGGCGGAGCATAAATGTCGCACCCAAACATTCTCAGAACCAAGAATTTATCACGAGTGCTGAAAGTTGTAGGTGTTAACATGAAGAAGATGAAATAATACACAAAACCCATACAATTCATACAATTTGCTGTTTTACATTTTCATAATTTTAACAAACGAATTCGTTTTCACTGGGTGCCTGCCGTAGCAAAAAGCAGATTTGACAAAAGACTTAACTCCGTTTCGTTGACAATCAGCCATGCATGAAGACTCTCGTCTACGGCTGATTGTCAACGAAACGGAGTTAAGTCTTTTGTTAATTTCGTTTATTGATACGGCAGGCAGCCAGTGAAAAAACGAAAATAAAATTATGGAAATGCAAGCACTACTTTAAACAAACAGAACTTTGTCATTCGTAGCTCATTTTTCCTGATTAAGGTGTCATATGAAAGGGCAGAAACTCAACTTTCTAGAAATGTGAATTTTTCTTCGAAATTCAGATACCGCCCGCCAAATGTCTTTTGGTTTCCTTCCTTCAGATTGCTTTTAATCACTCATGCGTGAAATATGCATCATCTGAGTAGCATCACATGAAAGAGGAGACTCTAAGCTTTCCAAATATGTATCATTCATTAATTATGGTTGTGATTAAGTTATGATAGAACATCGATACTGCTCGGTTTCGTTTTTTCTGGGACGCACTGTATATCGGAACAATAATGTAATATCATATTCCCGCCTTGTCCTGTAACTTGAAACACAAATGATATCAACAATGAAGTAAAGGATGTAGCATTCTTATGAAATTTAATTTTGCAAGAATCGAAAATAATTGGTTTGTATATTTGTTCGATGTGCCCGTACAAGAAATAAGGATGCAATTGGGTGCAGATACGTAACCACCAACGCGTATTTGGCAGAGGATGACACTATATTGTTGCAGATTTGTATCTTTATTTTCTTAGTGTGAAAGAGCCTTTAGAAAAGGGGTTCATTCACCGAATTATTATAAGCGTAAA